TCCCCAGTTCTCCCACCTGCTCCCCTGCCCCGGCATGTGCCCCTGCTCACTCATCTGTTTTCCTGCTCCCAGGCTCACCTGCTCATGTGTCCTTGACTGTCCTGAGTCTCCGTCTTTCCAAGCCGCACCTACTTGACACATCCTCCCTGACGGAACCAGAGTACACAAGCCTAAGTCCCTGCACCTCACCTTTACTCCCAGGCATGGAAGGGAGATGACATGAAGACCCAAATGCCACTTGGCAAAAGATCCAGAGTATGGGGGTTCCCTGCAGGAGGCTGCATTTAAGCTGGCTCTTGAATGTGGCTCTGAGCTGAGACCTCTCCCTGAAGCTCCAGACCAGGAGCCAGCTGCCAGCTGGACCCCTCCATTTGGTGTCTCAAAGGAAGCTTGCACTCTGGAGGTCTAACACTGAACCCAGAAAATTACCCCACCTCAGCCCTGTTTCTTCTTAGGGAAATCACCATCTCATACCCAGTTGTGCACCAAATCCACATTTGAGGAAGGGGGTTCCTGCCCTTCCCTGCACTGTGAGTGCTCTGGATGAGCCAGTGCCAAAGGGGAAAGAGCTCTCAATGCCAAGGCAAACCATGTGAGGCTTAAGTCCAACTTTAGCTCTGAGAGCTGTGGGTAGGGAAGGGCCCTAGTCCAGTCTGCTGTAGAAAGACCAGCTGGCCACTGTCTGGTACATGGATGGCAGGGGCAGGGCATGGATGGAGAGACAAGGTGTGCCAGGCTGGGGAGGTACGGACATGGCAGCCTCTGCAGGCCCAGCTCCTGCATCCCAGTAAGTGGCCTCTGCAGGTCCAGCTCGTTCCTCAGAGCACCTTCCAGGCCCAGTTCTTGGAAGGCTTTTGGTGGCCCCTTCAGGCCCAGCTCATGCCTCTCGTGGCCTCTCCAGGCCAAGGTGCTGCCTCCCGGCTTCCTCTCCAGGCCCGTTTGTCCCAGCACCTGCCCAGCTCCCAGCAGCCTTTGTCAACTTTAGTTTTTTTTCCAAGTCAGGCTTTCAAGGCCTTCCTTCGGCCTACCGGCGGCCCGGACAGACCCAGCTCCTGCCTGACCACAGCCTCTTCAGGGCAGCTATTCCTATGTGGGCCTTTTCTGGCCTTACTACCTGTTTTTCAGCCATTTTGGCAGGTCTTTCGTTTGCCTCACAGTGGCCTCTTCAGCCCCATCCTCAGTGTCACATCTGCCTCTCAAGATTCAGCTGTTTTTTTCACAGCAGCCTTTCTTATACCAGCCTGTGCCTCACCATGGCTTCCGCAGGCTTCTCGTCTGCCTCTTAGTGGACACTCCAGGATCAGCTCCTGCCTCAGGGTAGTTTTTTCTGCCCTGCACTTGCCTCACAGTGGCCTCTTCTGGATCCAGCTCTATAGGTCTTTGATTGTCAACAGCATAAAGAAGCCCAAATCTTCCCTGGACTCTCATTTGTTCACTTTTTAGCAGTGTGCCTTGGCTAAACACCTGCCTCTACTTTTAACCTGGAGAGTGTAGTTTTGACAGATTTGTAGTAAATTCTGCCTGCGTTTTTTTACAGCGACGTCTCTTTTATTTAGTGTCTAATGGTTCTTCTTGTCTTCTGGGGGTTCGGAGGCGAATGGGCCTCTGCTTGGGCTGTTTGTCTTTGCCCTGGATGTGGTACCTTCTCATTTCATGTCTTTTTTTCTATTTTTACAGTTAATTTTTTTTCCTTAGGTCTTGCTCTGCCACCTGGGCTTGGGTGTCGCCGTGTGATCATGACTCCACTGCAGCCTTGGCCTTTTGGCCTCCACTGATTTTCCCAAGTCAGCGTCTTGAGTAGCTAGCGTAGACTACAGGCATATGCCGCCATCCCTGACTAATTTCTGATTTTCTTTGAAAGGCTGGTTCTCACTCTGTTGCTTAGGCTAGCCTTAAACTTTTGGACACAAGCAATCCTCTTACCTGGGCCCCTCAACGTGCTGAGATTACAAGCATGAGCCATCCATGGCCTGTCGTTTGCTTGCCATGAAGTATTAAGAATTTACTTTTTGATTAATATACAATGCTTATATACATTTGTAAATATATTGACATTTTAAAGTTTTCTGGGATACCAATTTTTTCTTGTTTCTTTTCTTTTTTCTTTTTTTTTGAGGCAAGTTACTGCTTTGTCATTCAGGCTGAAGCACAGTGGTGTGATCTCGGCTCACTGCAACCTCTGCCTTCTTAGCTTAAGTCATCCTCTCACCTCAGCCTCCTGAGTATCTGGGACCCTAGGTACAAGCCGCCATGCCCATCTAATTTTTGTATTTGTTATAGAGATGGGGTCTCATCATGTTTCCCGGGCCAGTTTCAAACTCCTGGGCTCAAGTGATCCTCCCTCCTCAACCTCCCGCTGTGCTGGGATTACAAGTGTGAAAGTGTGAGCCACTACACATGGCCTGCCATTCTCTTTTCATGGATCATTAAGAATTTACCTTTTAATTAGTATACTATAAATATATATGTAGATATGTATATACACATTTATATGTGAATATGTGTATATATTTACATACACACACTCCCACACATACATTATGAAAGAGATATTTGCATACCTAGAAATTGATAAGCTTCTTCCAGCTTTTGAAACCACCCTTAGCACAAACACAAAAGTACAAAATATCATTATTAATGACCATGGACCAAGATGACCATCTGTCAATAGTACTTTGCAGCTCAACCACCTTCAGCAGAGCATCTCAAAGGGCTGGATATATCTGAACATCATACCCACGTAGATTACGATGCTTTGTAATTATTACTTCTCTTGAGACCTCAGTGTGACCCTCATCAGTGTGAAATCAGAAACTATTTCCCAAATCATAGAGATGTTCAATAACAGGTTTGGTCAGGGAATAGTTATTGCATTTGGTTAGTCATGATGAGCTCCTGGCCTAGGCAGATGGAATATCACAGAAGAGTGTGTGTGTGTATGTGTGTATGTGTGTGTGTGTGTGTACATTCTTCCACACAGATGTGGGGGTAGAAATAGGGGGTTGAATTTGATGAACCCGGAAGCGGGGAGGCTGCTGGGAGGGGCACTTGTTTTGGTAGCAGCTGTGTAACTCTAGAGTTAAGAAATAATTGTAAGCCTCAGTTTTGTCTCCTGGAAAATAAAGATTATACTTCCTAGGCCGGGCGTGGTGGCTCAAGCCTGTAATCCCAGCACTTTGGGAGGCCGAGGCGGGTGGATCACAAGGTCAAGAGATCGAGACCATCCTGGTCAACATGGTGAAACCCCGTCTCTACTAAAACTACAAAAAATTAGCTGGGCATGGTGGCGCGTGTCTGTAGTCCCAGCTACTCAGGAGGCTGAGGCAGGAGAATTGCCTGAACCCAGGAGGCGGAGGCTGCGGTGAGCCGAGATTGCGCCATTGCACTCCAGCCTGGGTAACAAGAGCAAAACTCCGTCTCAAAAAAAAAAGATTATACTTCCTGCCTTGATATGTCAATTAGGTGGTCCACTACATGCAAAATATCTAGTATATAAGAGGTGCTGAGTAAACACTACTTTCTGTAGCTCATTCTTAATCACTGCTCAATTTTAAAAAGTTTAGAATAACAAACGCTTTTGTAATATTTGTAATTATTATATAAAATCCAAGTCCTATAGAAAAGTACAAAGAGGCCGGGCACGGTGGCTCAAGCCTGTAATTCCAGCACTTTGGAAGGCTGAGGCGGGCAGATTACGTGAAGTCAGGAATTCGAGACCAAAGTGAGCAACGTAGCAAGATCCCATCTCTATAAAAAATTAAAAACCAGTTACGGTAATGCGTACCTGTAGTCCCAACTACTTGGGAGGCTGAGGCAGGTGGATCACTAGAACCCAGGAGTTTGAGACTTCAGCCTGGGCAACAGGGTGAGACCCTGTCTGAGAGACAGAGAGAGAGATTTATTCAGAAAGCAATTAAGTCTGGGGCCTTGATCAAGAATCAATCTGTCAATAACCTAGACCCAGCTAGTCTGAGGTGTCCTTTCTCTTCTGAGAGTTAAATGATTAACACAGAAAGTATAAAGTGTAAAAACATACTGCCAGGTGTGGTGGCTTATGCCTGTAATCCCAGCACTTTGGGAGGTCACGGTGGGTAGATCACAAGGTCAGGAGTTCGAGACCATCCTGGCCAATATAGTGAAACCCTGTCTCTACTAAAAACACAAAAATTAGCTGGGTGTGGTGGCACATGCCTGTAATCCCCTGCTCAGGAGGCTAAGGCAGGAGAATCGCTTGAACCCGGGAGGTGGAGGTTGAAGTGAGCCAAGATCATGCCACTGTACTCCAGCCTAGGCCAAAGAGCAAGACTCTGTCTCAAAAAACAAACAACAAAAAAACAGTATCTTCCACATTTAATGTAACCCAGGAAACAAAGCAGGGAAGTTTCAAAAAAATGAATAAGGGACCACGGCTTCCACGTGCTCCACTGCCTCTTGGCTTCTCGCTTGGGAACTCCAGTCTCACTTCGGCTCGCAATGGACCCCAACTGCTCCTGCGCCGCTGGTGGCTCCTGCAAGTGCAGAGTGCAAATGCACCTCCTGCAAGAAGAGCTGCTGCTGCTGCTGCCCCATGGGCCGCGCCAAGTGTGCCAATGGGTGCGTGTGCAGAAGTGCAGCTCCCGTGCCTGATGTCAGGACAGCCCTGCTCCCAGCTGCAAAGACAGTGGCACCTAAAATCCAGGATTATTTTTTCTACAACCCCGACCCATTTGCTACATTCCTTTTTCTGGGAAACATGTGAATGATAATTAAACACTGACATGGGGAAAAAAATGAATCCGAGAATAAGAATAGGAATAAAGAAAGAAACTGAAATCCCAGTGATGAGTATTTTCATAGCCTGTTCAAATCTAAGCATGTAGTCAATTTTGTCATCACTGTGATTTGGGATTCGCTTTCTACCTCTTAAGCTATTTAAAACATTAAGAAGGCAAAATTACAACTTTCATTTTAACGACATACTCAGATTTTTGACTCAAACAAATACTAAACAAGTTTACAAGTAACAGTTAAATATTTAAGGACATTTAATGTACTAAGCTTTGCAAACAGTACAAATATTTAAAAGTGTTGACTGGGAGTAAGGGAATGTCAACTGCCAATCAACGCAGAAGATGAAAGGACAGGACTTTCAACAGCGCATACTCAACTCTGGGTCTGCATCCCACACAGAAAAACTCCCGGACATTGGTGTCCTCATTTCCTGATAACCTGCTCTTCACCTCTACAGGGTTATCTTTCCAGCACCCCAGCAAAGGCCCTCAGGATACACGATGCATACTCTCAGCTGAGCAGCTCCCCGACAGACAAGGTAAGCACACACAGACGCGGCTGGGCCGTCTGAGCCCTAATCCCTCCAGCGGTGTCCACACTGGGCATTGCAGCACTTGTAGAAGGTGGTCATGGGCTCGTCCGCAGAGCGGGTCTGAAGCTGCATGAAGTAGGCCCGAGGATGTTCGCATTTGGGACAGGGTTCTGGTGATGGGAAGAATGAAGCGACCCACATTAAACAAACACGATGCTCATGACTGTTAAAAGTAAGCATTACTTCATATCTTGTTTGATTTTTTTTTTTTTTTTTTTTTTTTTTTGAAACGGAGTCTTGCTCTGTAGCCCGGGCTGGAGTGCAGCGGCATGATCTCGGCTCAGTGCACCCTCCACCTCCCAGGTTCAAGCGATTCTCCTTGCCTCAGCCTCCCAAGAAGCTGGGATTACAGGTGCCCACCACTGCACCTGGGTAAGTTTTTGGTATTTTTAGTAGATACAGGTTTTCACAATGTTGGCCAGGCTGGTCTTGAACTCCTGACCTCATGATACGCCCTCCTCGGCCTCCCAAAGTGTTGGGATTACAGGTGTGAGCCACTGCTCCCGGCCTACTTAGTATCTTTAAAGATGGTAAAGAACCTCCCTGCTCATTTGATCTCCCTTGCCAAGGGCAGACCTACAGCGATGTCATTCCCACTATGCTCGAACAGTTAGGGAATCTGGGAGACCTGTGACCCCACAAACATTCCTCCTTCCCTCCCGGGTCCCAGGGTTCTTCTCAAATCTACTTGAAGGCTGGTTGGAAACGTGACACAGAAAGTGACTGTTTTGATCCATGCTGTGCTGCTAATGCTAAGTGCTTGTTCGACAGCAGAAGGGTTTAGAAGTCAATGCTGGGAAAAGCCTGCACTGTCAAGAATGGAGCATTCAGGGCGATTCAGGTGTGGGCTCAAAAGAAGAGAAGAGTCGTAGGCAGGTCTGACTCTTCAAAGACATTCCGTAAGTGGTTGTGAACAGAATGTTGGTAGAAATACAGACAGTGAGTACTATTTTGATGAGGTCTCAGACAAAAATGAAAAATATCTTCTTCAAAATTGGGGAAAAGGCCATCTTTATCACAAAGTGGCAAAAACTTTGGCGAATTATGTCTGTTTCCAAGGACTTTGTAGAAAGCAGAACCTCCACAAAGTTCTAGAGCCATGAACTAGGACATCCGGCAGAAGAAATCTCTAGGCTACAAAGTGTTCAGGATACTGCGTGGCTTTTCTTAACGCTTGTAGTAAAATTCGAGAAGAGAGAACCAATCTATAATGGGAATTAATAATTAAAAGGGAAGTAGAACAAAGATTTGGAAAATTCGTAGCTTACTCACGTAAACAATAAAAAAGTGGACTGGGCATGGTGGCTCACACCTGTAATTCCAGCAATTTGGGAGGCTGAGACAGGAGGATTGCTTGACCTAAGGAGTTCAAGACCAGCCTGAGCAACATGGCAAGGCCTTGTATCTACAAATAATAATAATAATTATTATTATTATCATCATTAGCTGGGCAGGCGGCAAGCACCTACAGTCTCAGCTACTCAGGGGGCTGAGGTGGGAGGTCTGCTTGAGACTGGGTGGTCAAGACTGCAGTGAGCGACGATCACACCACTACAGCTTGGGCAACAGAGCGACCCCCCGTCAAAAAAAAAAAAAGAGAGAGAGAAAAAACCAAGGGTATGGTCAAGGGACCATGTGATACAGAGATGAGAATGGACAGAAGGCAGCCAGATGCTATTCATCAAGCAACGGGAGGATGACCCCTTCAAGGCATTTTTGAAGATCCTGGGGTGAGATGAGGGGCTCCCATGCCCATCACAGGCCCAGAGTGGTTTCAAGGGACCTCAGGGCTTCCTACAGCTCCCCTGGCTCTCAGCTCCCTGTATTCCAGGGCAGCATTCCTTGGCCAGGTCCTACCAGATGCCAAACCTGCTGGTGACTTGTTCTTGGACTTCTCAACCTCCAGAATCATGAGCAATAAATTTATATTCTTTATAAATTACCCAGTATGTGGTATGCTGTTACAGCAGTGCACACCATGCAGAGTCCCCTAAGAAGTGTATCACCTTCCCCTGGGCAATGTACACACACCTTTCATCTTCCCAATGGATGAATGATCCAAGGATCCATTTTGGCAGCAGTTCCTCAAGCTGTTCTTTATCAACATCTTATCACACATCCTGTATCTTTTAAAAGTGACTCAAGGCACAGATTTCCCATCAAAGTGACTTCATTTTGAGAAACTTATTCTACACTTGATAGAAATGGCTTCAAACACTCTCAGACACTATTACTGACATTAGGTACTTAATCTTTTCTTTCCAGAGAGTCTCACTCATGCTGGAGTGCAGTAGCATGGTCTAACGTCATGGCAACCTCCACCTCCTGGTTCAAGTGATTCTCCTGCCTCAGCCTCCTGAGTAGCTAGGACTACAGACATGCGCCACCAAGCCCAGCTTTCTTCTTTTCTTTTCTTTTTTTTTGAGACAGAGTTTTGTTCTTGTTGCCCAGGCTGGAATGCAATGGCACAATCTCAGCTCACTACAACCTCTGCCTCCCAGGTTCAAGCAATTCTCCTGCCTCAGCCTCCCAAGTAGCTGGGATCACAGGCACACACCACCATAACCAGCTACTTTTGTAGAGACAGGGTTTCAGCACGTTGGTCAGTCTGGTCTTGAACACCTGACCTCAGGTGATCCACCTGCGTTGGCATCCCAAAGTGCTGAGATTACAGGCGTGAGCCACTTCGCCCAGCCACTCATTTTTTTCTTTTTTTTTTCCCAGACAAGAGTCTCACTCTGTGGCCCAAGCTGGAGTGCTGTAGTGCAATCTCAGCTCACTGCAACCTCCGACTCTGCGGCTCAAGCAATTCTCCTGCCTCAGCGTCCTGAGTAGCTGGGACTACAGGTGTCCACCACCATGTCCAGGTAATTTTTGTATTTTAATAGAGACCAGGTTTCACCATGTTGCCCAGAGTGGTCTCAAACTCCTGAGCTCAGGTGATCGCCCACCTTGGCCTCTCAAAATGCTGGGATTACAGGTGTGAGCCACCATGCCCAGCCTAATTTTTGTATTTTTAGTAGAGATAAGGTTTCGCCATGTTGCCCGGGTTGGTCTCGAACTCCTAACCACAAGTGATCTGTCCACCTCAGCCTCCCAAAGTGCTAGGATTACAGGCATGAGCCACCACACCTGGCCTAATTTATCTTTTAATGACAAATTCTACCAAATGCTAACTTTTGAACACAGCAGATCTGTATGTTCTACTATGGGGGAAAAACACAGCACTAATCATCAGTTGTCTCTTCCCCTCTCAACACAACTTATATTTAGGGCCTTCCCCTTTCCTCTCCTGGTCACTTCTATCTCTATCAGACATGAAATAAACATTTATTTTACCCAATCTGCAGTTTAATGTTCCTTGGTATTAACTTCTAAAAATCTGTATCAGAACAGTGTATTAGTCCATTCTCACACTGCTATGAATACCTGAGACTGGGTAATTTATTTAGAAAAGAGGAATTTTTTAAACAGCACCTTGAAAAAAAGAAAAGATGAGTTTTGTTTCTTTGTCTGTTTTGAGACAGAATCTCACTCTTGTCATCAAGGCTGGAGTGCAATGGCACGATCTCAGCTCACTACAACCTCTGCCTCACGGGTTCAAGCGATTCTCCTGCCTCAGCCTCCTGAGCAGCTGGGTCTACAATCGTGCACCACCACGCCTGGCCAATTTTTGTATTTTTAGTAGAGACATGGTTTTGCCATGTTGGCCAGGCTGGTCTAGAACTCCTGACCTCAAGTGATTTGTTCACCTTGGCCTCCCAAACTTCTGGGATTACAGGTGTCAGCCACCGTGCCCAGCCAAAAAAAGAGGTCTACTTGACTCACAGTTATGTGTGGCTGGGGATGCCTCAGGAAACCTACAACCATGGCGGAAGGTACCTCTTCACAGGGCAGCAGGAGACAGAATGAGTGCAAGCAGGGGAAATGCCAAACACTTACAAAACCATCATATCTTGTGAGGACTCACTCACTATCAGAACAGCATAGAGGAAACCACTCCCTTGACTCAATGACCTCCCACGGGACCCTCCCAGGACACCTGGGGATTATGGGAACTACAATTCAAGATGAGATTTGGGTGGGGACACAGCCAAACCATATCAAACAGAAAGAACATAATTTTTTCCTTAGACTCTGATTTTTATTAATCTACTCATCATTGCCATTATAAAAGCCACCTGTTGAGTGGCTCTTCTACACACAGTATAACTCACTTTATGTTCTCACAATCTGTGAATATGGATTAGCCCCATAGAGGTCAGGAGACCCAAGGAAGGTCCTAAAACAATAAGCAGTTCCCTTGAGAATCTAACCCAGGCCTGTGTGACACCAAGGCGTGCACAAATATTGCTTGTGTAACAAATTATTAAATAGTAACAAACACAAATGACAAATTATTCAAAAAAAGATTTTCCATTTTTAGAAGGCTACAGCATTTATATGACATCATAGACTCTGCCATGCAGTGGCATCAACAGCCTCATAATTATCCACAGTTTAGTAACAGAAATAGTTTTCCCTCCCTCTTACCTGCAGTGGAGTCAACATTCTCCCAGGCAGCTGCCCCACCGAGCACATCATCCACTTCTTTCAGTTTTGGGTACTTCCGATTTGTTACCTAACAAAAACAAGCCTTCAGATTCAAAGTAGCTAAATGGTGCAAACTTGGGCCTCCAAACCTCAAATTTCAGAACTACATAAGAATTCACTCTTTCCACAGTTTCAGACGCTAAACTCCCACAACACAGTACAAAATGGAGTAGTATGCAAACATTAAGACTGAGGTCGCACCATAATGTTCTAACTTCTGAAAAGTAAAGGTATTCTGGCCGGGCATGGTGGCTCACGCCTATAATCCCAGCACTTTGGGATGCCAAGGCAAGATCGCCTGAGGTCGGGAGTTCAAGATCAGCCTGGCCAACATGGTGAAATCCTGTCTCTATTAAAAATACAAAAAATAGCCGGTGGTGGCGCAAGCCTGTAGTCCCAGCTACTTGGAAAGCTGAGACAGGAGAATCATTTGAACCACGGCGGTGGAAGTTGCAGTGAGCCGAGATCACGCCACTGTACTCCAGCGTGGGCAACAAGATCATACTCTCTCACCTTTCCAAGTAGCTGGGACTAAAGGAAAGCGACACCAAAAGATATATATAGGAAAGTCACGGTGGCTCACGCCTGTAATCCCAGCACTTTGGGAGGCCGAGGCGGGTGGATCACGAGGTCAAGAGATCGAGACCATCCTGGTCAACATGGTGAAACCCCGTCTCTACTAAAACTACAAAAAATTAGCTGGGCATGGTGGCACGTGCCTGTAATCCCAGCTACTCAGGAGGCTGAGGCAGGAGAATTGCCTGAACCCGGGAGGCGGAGGTTGCGGTGAGCCGAGATCGCGCCATTGCACTCCAGCGTGGGCAACAAGGACAAACTCTGTCTCAAAAAAAAAAAAAAAAAGAGTAAAGGTATTCTAAAAAGTAAACCTGTATTATTAAGGAAAAATAGTAAGTTATAATACAGTACATCATCTGCTTACTGAACACCTACTATATTATAGGTTTCCTTTTAGTTGTTCAGAAGAGAACACGGAAAGGAACAAAAGAGAAAATCCCTGCCCTCCTAGACCGTAGGTCCCATTACTAATAAACAAAGCACACAATACATTACATAATATATGAGGAGGTAATAAGCCCTATGGAGGCCGGGCGCGGTGGCTCAAGCCTGTAATCCCAGCACTTTGGGAGGCCGAGGCGGGTGGATCACAAGGTCAAGAGATTGAGACCATCCTGGTCAACATGGTGAAACCCCGTCTCTACCAAAAATACAAAAATTAGCTGGGCATGGTGGCACGTGCCTGTAATCCCAGCTACTCAGGAGGCTGAGGCAGGAGAATTGCCTGAACCCAGGAGGCGGAGGTTGCGGTGAGCCGAGATCGCGCCATTGCACTCCAGCCTGGGTAACAAGAGCGAAACTCCGTCTCAAAAAAAAAATAAAAATAAAAAAATAAAAAAAAAAAATAAGCCCTATGGAAACAATTAAAAAGGGAAGGAGGATAACTGAGAAGGAAGGGCTGCAACTTGAAATACAGTAAACAGGTAAGTAAAGACAAGCCCAGTGGGGAAGCGTGAGCCGGGCGACGGGAAGGGCAGAGGCCCCGCTGGTCCTCCAGGAGGCTGGTGTGCATGGGGCGGGGGCAACAGGCGGGGCATCGGGACTGGAAATCAAAGCAGCAAGCCGGGCGGGGGCTCCGGGCCCCGGTAGGCCCTGGGAGGACTCCGGCTGTCCCCGCGTGAGCTGGGACACGGCCGAAGGTTTCTGCGCACAGCACGGACCGGGGCGACTCGGCCCCAGGAACCGCCGTGGCCGCCGCTGCGAACGCAGGGAAGGGCGCAGCGCGGGCGCAGGGGCGCGGGGAGGCGGGCGGCGGCGGGCTCGCCGGGCGCGCTGGCAAGCAGAGCGCGCAGGGGCGCCGCCGGCCGGGAGGGGGCGCGGCGGCTCACGCCGTCATCCCAACCCGGGGAGGCGAGGCGCGCGGATCACGACGTCGGGAGTTTGAGACCAGCCTGGCCAGCGCGGCGCAGCCCCGTCTCTACTGAAAACACACACACAGAATCAGCCGGGCGCGGGGGCGGGCGCTGTAAGCCCCGCTCCTCGGCCGGCTGCGGCAGGGAGCCGCTCGAGCCTCGGGGGAGGAGGCTGCAGCGAGTGGAGACCGCGCCACTGCATTCCAGCCCGGCCTCAGAGCGAGACGCTGTCTCAAAAACAAAAAAAAACCGAGAGAAAGAAACGACAGAGGCAGACGCCGGGGCTGGCGGCGACGGCGCCGCAGGGCAGGAAGCGGGAGTCCTGCGGCGGGCGCCCGCCTTCGGCTCCCACCTTGCGGGTGACGTTGTGCACGTAGGGGCACGTATTGCAGGCGAAGCGGTGGCAGCGCTGTCCCTCCTCCACGATCAGCCCGTTCCCGCAGCCGGGGCAGAACAGCAGCATCGTCCCGGACTCCGCAGGGGCCGGGCCCCTCCGCTCCCGCGGTGCCTCAGCGCCGGGAGCCGGAGCCGGCACCGGCACCGCCCCACCCCCCAGCCGACCAATAGACACGGCAATTCTGCGCTCCCAGCAGGCTATGCGGCAGGCTGTCTCGCACTTGTCATTGGTCACGGCAACTGCCCCTCCCCTCCGTGCACCAATGGCTGGGCGGCCTCGCTGGGGCGGGCCGCAGTTCCCGCGCGTGCGCGCTTGGCCCCCGTAGTGCGGCCGGGCAGCGCGGGCGGATCCCTGCTGAGACGCGCCGTCCTGGAGCAGCCGGAGGCCGCCAGTCGGCCCGAGGCGCCGGAGGACGATGAGGACGAGGAGGAGGCGCTGCCGCACTCCGAGGCCGTGGACGTGTTCCAGGAGGGTCTGGCCATGGTGGTGCAGGACCCGCTGCTCTGCGATCTGCCGATCCAGGTGTGTGCGGGCGGGGGCTGGGGCGCGGGGTCGTTCCCCGGGGGCCGGGGGCCGGGGTTCGGGGTTCGGGCGCGCGCAGCCTCTGAAGGTGCTGATGGGGGACGGCGCCTCTGGGCGCGAACGGGTGTCTTAACCTGGGTAGGGCGCACTCGCCTGGGGCGCGAAATTTAAAGAGGCACCAAAAACCTGACTAGTGAGTGACAATAAATGACATTTTCATGTAATTGTATGTAGGGGTCTGGGGGACAGGCCCGTGCTCTGTCGCCCAAGCCGGAGTGCAGTGGCGCGGCCTCGGCTTCCCGTAGCCTGCACCTCCTGAGCTCCAGCCATCCTCCCACCTCAGCCTCCGGAGTAACTGGGACCACAGGTGCGCGACACCACGCCCAGCTAATTTTTTAATTTTTTGTAGAGAGGGGTCTCACTCTGTGGCCCAGGCTGGAGTCGAACTCCTGGGCTCTGGCGGTCCTCCTGCCTCGGTCTCCCAGAGTGCCGGGATTACAGGTGTGAGCCACCCGGCCGGCCTGTAATGGTTTTAAAAGTAAAAGTTGATGCAAACAAAAAAAGAGCCTACAGTAAAGAAAAAATCTCGTTTTAAACAAGAGCAAGATTCGTAGTACTGATTGTTCCATCTGCCTCAAGCATCAATATGCTTTGGCACTATACTGTCTTTGTTTACATGGTTTTTGTTTTTGTTTTGAGACAGAGCCAGGCCGGAGTGCAGTAGCATGATCTAACATGTTGGCCAGAATGGTCTCAGTCTCCTGTTCTGCCCGCCTGGGCCTCCCAAACTGCTGAGATTACAGGCATGACCCACCGTGCCCAGCCAATTCTAAATGTTTTATATTTTGCTTATCATGGATTTTTTAATTGCCTTGTACTTTTTTTTTTTTTTTTTTAAATAAAGACAGCATTTCACCGTGTTGGTCAGGCTGGTTTTGAACTCCTGACCTCAGGTGATCCGCCCACCTTGGCCTCCAAAGTGCTTGGATTACAGGCGTGAGCCACCACGTCCAGCTTCAATGCCTTGTACTTCTTAAATGTTGTGTTAAAATATTTATAGTTAATACCATTTTTTGCTGTCCTGGTAAATTTCCCACACCTGCCTTACCCCAGTCCCAGGCCCTGGCCTGGGTCCTGATGATCAGGGATACTCAGGGTGAACTGACAGCCAGGCCCCTACCCACCCCCTGGGGTGGATCCTCATGGGAGTGTATTCTCTTGTTCCCCAAGAGACTGTCCACTTTGGACATTAAATTAAAATGTGAGTGGAACATGAATTAAAATGTGAGTGGCTCTGATGAATGGGGAAACCCTAATGTGTAGGGAAGCACATCTTCCCTTCCTTGCCCTACATAAAATGGAGCACCTCTTTTGGGCCACTATCAGCTTGTTCTCTGCTGTTCAAGGTGGTAAAGAGAGCCGGTTCCCACTTCTGCTCTTGGTCTTTTCTAGGTTACTTTGGAAGAAGTCAACTCCCAAATAGCCCTAGAATATGGCCAGGCAATGACGGTCCGAGTGTGCAAGATGGATGGAGAAGTGATGCGTGAGTGCCACCCTTCTCCCTTCAGGTCACAGGCCATGCCCAGGGGTATCGGGCAACCCCACACCTGCCCTGCACACAGAGCTTCTGGGTTCCTTTTCTGCCATGGGAGCCTGTGGCTTTGGGCTCTCACCATGCATCTTCTCCCACCTGTGCCCGTGGTTGCAGCTGTGGTTGTAGTGCAGAGTGCCACGGTCCTGGACCTGAAGAAGGCCATCCAGAGATACATGCAGCTCAAGCAGGAGCGTGAAGGGGGCATTCAGCACATCAGCTGGTAAGTGGAACAGCGTCCCTTCAGTATAGCCCTTCCTGGGGCATGTGCCCTTCTTGGCACTGTCACCGGGCACCACCAGCAAACAGCTCTCAGCGCCACATGAGTACAGCACCACTGAAGTGATTCGCTCCCTGTCACAAGAGTTCAGACAGTGCGGGCCCTTCTGTGCCTGGGGCTGGCTCCTGCCTTGGCCGTCCCCAGCACCCTGCTCTTTCATCGCCATCACCCCATCCAGGCTGCCGGGTATCTTCACTTGGGGACACTGTAGGGTATTTCCAGTGTGTCTGGAAGTGGCCTCCCTAGTTATGAATGGTACACCTGTAATGGCTCCCATCCCCTTCTCACCTGGGTGCTGTCAGCCCTCACTCTCCTGTTGGATCAAGTATGCTGTTTGCTGAATCTCAGCACTGCCACCTGTTGCATTAGCGAGTGTTGTTTGGCCACGCCGCCCCGTGCAGCCCTCTGAGAACACAGCCTCCTTGCAGCTGCCTCAGACTGTATAGAACAGCACAGGGAGGGAGGACAGCTGCCCCAGGCCCCACAGGGCTGAATGCCTCAAGCCCACGTCATGGTCAGGGCCTGTGGTTTACCTGAGTCACCCACTTCCAGGTCCTATGTGTGGAGGACGTACCATCTGACCTCTGCAGGAGAGAAGCTCACAGAAGATAGGAAGAAGCTCCGAGAGTAAGTGCCGGCCACACCTTGAGCTGTAGGGGACATCTGTTCTATTGTCCCCTAGTCCCCCATGCTCTGCCAGAGGGCTGTGGCCCCCTCTCTGGAGAGACTCCCTCCCCCAAGGAGCTTCCTTGGGGCCCTCTCCACTAGGAGATTGGCAGGCAGGGGGCACCTGGAGGGGCCTTGCTGCTTCCCACCAGTGGCAGCTCAGGGCTACACATTGCCCGGAGGGAGGAAATGAAAGTGGGCGTGGAGGCCAAGGGCTGCCTCTCCGGTGCCTCAGGGTCTGTGGGAGGGCAGCCACTACCGTCTCCTGGCCTTCCCAGCGGCCACATGCCTCCCCTCTGTGGTTCTTTTGTGGTCCCCCACAAGCCTCCGGAGGAGGGTCACAGACGTGTCCTTCTGTAGGGCGGGTGCTTTACGCCTTTCCTTTTCAGCTACGGCATCCGGAATCGAGACGAGGTTTCCTTCATCAAAAAGCTGAGGCAAAAGTGAGCCTCCAGACAAGGACAGCTCTCTTCACTGGTGACTGAGTTTTTCCCCAGCAGCATCGGGTCCTCAAGAAAGGACATGGTGGTGGCCTCACCCCAGGCATGCCCAACAGGAACTCTCAGCACGAACCTGGGAGCCCCCGGGACTAGGACGGGGTGAGCCAGCGCTCCCTTCTTCCATGTGCTTGTCCTGAGACTGACCTCTCCCTGGGTCCAAATACCCTAGTCACATGCCAGATCCACAGCCTGACCCTGTGTATAAAATAAAACTATTTGCTTCATAGTTTGAAAAGTCAAAAGCCGCCGGGCGCGGTGGCTCAAGCCTGTAATCCCAGCACTTTGGGAAGCCGAGGGCGGGGGCTCACAAGGTCAAGAGATCAAAACCATCCTGGCCAATGTGGTGAAACCCCATCTCTATTGAAAATACAAAAATTGGGCCAGGTGCGGTGGCTCATGCCTGTAATCCCAGCACTTTGGGAGGCTGTGGCAGGTGGATCACGAAGTCAGGAGTTGAAGACCACCCTGGACAAGATGGTGAAACCCTGTCGCTACTAAAAATACAAAAATTAGCCAAGTGTGGTGATGCATGCCTATGATCTCAGCTACTCAGGAGGCTGAGGCAGGGAATTGCTTGCACTCGGGAGGCAGAGGTTGCAGTGAGCCAAGATCATGCCACTGCACTCCAGCCTGGGCAACACAGCAAGACTCTGTCTCAAAAGAAAAAAAGAAAAAATACACAAATTAGCCAGGCATGGTGGCATGTACCTGCAGTCCCAGCTACTCGGGAGGCTGAGGCAGGAGAATTGCTTGAACCCGGGAGGCGGAGGTTGCAGTGAGCCAAGATCATGCCACTGCATTCCAGTCTGGTGACAGAATGAGACCCCATCTCCAAAAAAAAAAGGTCATAAGACACAGTGCCCTGGGTAGGAAAGACAGGCTGCCCCGTCACAAAGGGCAGTTAAGGGGAGAGCATGGGAGAGACTTGGTATAGGTGAGTCAGTCCAAGATGTCACCACACCACCTAAGCCTTGTGGCCACATCACTCCCCAAACCACACCACTGTGTAACCATGATCTCCATAACAAGGAGAAACGCAGGGCGGCTTTAGGGTGTGCCTCCTGGAGCTCACAGCGGCAGTGAGCACAGCACGGCTATGGGTGAGCCCTCAGCCTCGGCCTTTAGGTTCGCCCGCAGCAGTGACTTCGGCAGGCTCCAGGGACAGGGAGGTAGTGTGGGGCAGAAATTGGAGCTGCTGAGGGTGGGGGCAGGGTGCTTCCCAGCATGTGGGGAGGGTGTGAGCACACCCCTAGGTCCTTGTCCCTGTGTCGGCTGCCAGCCGCTCTAAGGAGAAAGCAGCAAGGTGCACATGCCTGGCTGAAGGGCTTCACTGGGAGGTGAAAGAGCCTGTGACTCTACCTGACACTTAGTTCCCTGCCCCGGGGACTTGGGAGTGGGAAGCAGGGGGCTTGCAGGATCTCCCTCCACAGCCCGGCCAGAAACAAAGACAGAGAGGAAGCCCTGGTCAGGTTAATGGCAGCTAAAACGCTCCCGGTCCATTTATTGGCCACGTGAAGTGGTCGTCAAGAGGCAAATTAGAAGGTTATCACAGGAAGATGTGTAATAAGTGCCCGGCAGTACGAAGGGTTCAGCAGAGTGAACAAGGCACACGAGGTCTGTGTTCAGGAAACGGGCCAGTTCCCTCGTGGAGCAGGTGACTCCCGCACGCCTGTGAGGCTCAGGGCTGCGGTGTCTGGCTCTGCTCTGCAGGAGCACGTGGGCCCTGGAGCCCGCAGCCAGCTCAGTGGAGCTGAGCGTCCAGTTCGTACTTCTCACAGAACTTGTCGGTGAAGGGGATGCAGGTGAGGAACTCACACCACTCACAGCGGACAGGATAGACGTAGAAGAGGACCACCAGGCCAGCCAGGAGGCCCAGGAAGACCACCTGAAAGACGATGATCTGGCAGCGTTTCCGGTACAAGTCGAACTTGCCAAAGCTGATGTAGGGCAAGAAGGCGAAGGAGAGGAAGAGGCCGCTGATGAACCCCGAGATGTGGGCAAAGTTGTCGATCCAGGGCAGCAGCCCGAAGGTGAAGAGGAAGAGCACCACAGCCAGCAGCTTGAAGAAGGCACGCCAGGGCCGCGCCAGGATCTGCCAGCTCTGGAAGAGCTCCACAAAGAGGCAGGCCAGGATGCCAAACTGGGAGCCAGCCGGACCCACCTGGGGGATGGTGGGGACAGCTGTAAGGCTGTGGGGCTGGGCAGGTCCCCTGGACCCAAGTTCTCATCTTTCTGCCCCCACTTCCCATGGCCTAGAGCATATTGGGACTGAGGATCCAAATGGAGATGCTCCCTGCCGGGCACTGCAGAGACCCAGACTCCGCACTCCATGTGGACATGTTCATGGCAAGCTGCAGGTGCACACAGGAGGATCCCCACCCGGAGGGCCAGCCTTACCTCTGCTCGGTACGGCAGAAAGATGGCACTGGCCAGGTTGCCAGTGACACCACTCAGCAGGTAGATGATGGCTATGCGGTGCCAGCCTGCCAGCTTCTCCAGGTCCCGCAGGACGGTCATCTGGAAGCAGATGGACACCAGGCAGTGCAGGATCCTGTGGTCAGTGGCGGGGGTGGTGGGGAGACATTCAGCAGGAAAGTAACCTCTCTGCCACCCCCAGCCAGCCAATCCTGGGGACCCTGAGACCACCCACGCAGCCCAGTGTCACTTGCCCGGCGTGCAGGAAGAGGGACAGCCACAGGCGGTAGAACTGGTCAGGCACCTCAGGGTTGAGGAAAGGCAGGAGCCCACACACATCATCCATGCAGTGCACCTGTGCAGAGCAGCATGTCAGCACTCACAGCAGCTGGGGGAGGGGAAAGACAGACACCCCGGAGGCCTACCTGAGAGCAGAGCGTGGCCTCCTCATGGAAGTAGCCCCTCATGAAGTCACAGTACTCCCGGGAGGTGATCTCACACCTAGAAGGGCGGGCCAGGGTTGGGAGGCTGCTGCCTTGTAGAGGGCACTGCTGGCATCCAGGGCAAGTTTCAGCCGCACCTACACACGTTTGTTAGCCCTGAAGAAGTCCAGACCCCTTCTGACCCCACACCCCTTAGCATACTGGGTTATTTCAGGAATTTTTTTTTTTTTTTTTGAGAGGGAGTCTCGCTCTGTCACCCAGGCTGGAGTGCAGTGGCACGGTCTCGGCTCACTGCAACCTCCATACCTCCCAGGTTCAAGCAATTCTCCTGCCTCAGCCTCTTGAGTAGCCGTGACTACAGGCACGCACCACCACTCCCAGCTGATGTTTGTATTTTTAGTAGAGACAGTTTCATCACACTGGTCAGGCTGGTCTTGAACTCCTAACCTCATGATGCACCCACCTTGGCCTCCCAAAGTGCTGGGATTATAAGCATGAGCCACTGCGCCCAGCTATTTCAGAATTTGGTTAGGGAGAAGGCGCAGCCCTAGGACAACGCTCTGAGCCCAGTGACCAGCTGCACTCCCGTGCACGTACGCACGCCTACCTGCCCTTGGTGCCGATGCAGCAGGGCCGCCCTGTGATGACACAGTCCATATGCGGATGGTTGGTGTGGTTCCCAGCACTGTTTTTGGTGCAGATCTGGGTCACAAATGGGGATGAGCTGGGTCAGGGCCTCGCCCAATTTTTGGCCCCACACTGTGTTTGGGGGTAGAGGCAAAGGTGGGCGGGCTCATAAGGTAGAAAACAGTGTGGTTTCCTTGACTTCCAGCAGGCCACCACCCTCTGAGTCTCTATCAAACTGGAATAATGTCACTTGACCTTTCAAGTCTCCATCTAGTTCTCTTGATCTACGTGCTCAGAGGAGCAGGTGTTGGTTGATGGACAGGCTGTGCAAAGGCCAGGTGCACAGCATCTGAAAACGTGAGGTGGTCCCATGATGGGAATCTCTGGCATCACCAATGGGTGGGTGTGGTAGGTGCTCTCCCTGCATGACAAGGATGACTCCCTAACAACCCCCCACTGTAGCTCACCGGCCACCTGGTGATGTCTTCTGGCCACTCATGGGGGTCTTCAGAGGAGGGCTCATCACACACCCTGCATGAGCCAAGTAGGTGGTCAGACCCTGCTGGGAGCCCCTAGCGTTGGCACCCTTCCAGCCAAGTTGCCAACAACTAGGGCAGCCCCTACAGCCTCTGCACCACAGCCCCCTGGAAGGTGTGAAAGAAGGCAGGTAGAGCACTGCGGCAGGACTAACCTGGGATCCTGGTGGCAGACAGAACCAAACTGTCTCTTGTGGCCGGCAAGCTCTGGAGCACTGGGATGGATAGGCCACTTCACCCAAACTGCCAGTGTGGACTGTGGGAGGGGGCACAGGGTCAGGCCCAGCTGGGCAGGGCAACGAGGGGCACTCAGTGAGTCAGGAGTCAAAGGCAAAACCGCTGAGCTCATCCCTCAGTTCTACGAGTCACGCCCTATGAATTGATACTCTTGAAATGCACAGGCATGTTGGAAGAGACTTACACAGAGTTCAACCGTGGCCAGGCGCGGTGGCTCACGCCTGTAATCCCAGCGCTTTGGGAGGCCAAGGCGGGCAGATCACCTGAGGTCAGGAGGTCGAGACCAGCCTGACAAATATGGAGAAAGCCCGTTTCTACTAAAAACACATAAATTGGCCAGGCGTGTTGGTGCGCACCTGTAATCCCAGCTACTCGGGAGGCTGAGGCAGGAGAATTGATTGCACCCGGGAGGCAGATGGCGCAGGGAGCCAAGATTGCACCGCTGCACTCCTGCCTGGGCAACAAGAGCGAAGCTGTGTCTCAAAAAATAACAACAGAAAAGAGCCAAGGCGTTCAACAGCATAATCCCTGTTAGCTGAAAATCAGCATCAACCTCTGTGTCCTCAATCAGGGAACCGGCATGGACTATGGCACCTCCATATAAGACGATGTGATGAAAGTTTGGGTGAATCGCCTTTTTAAAACTGCTCAGTGGAAAAGAGAGCAATACCACTTAGGTAACCTTTAAGACACATGCTGGAAGAGTACACCCAAGTCAAACGACCAAATCAGATGGCAGTCTACGGGGCGAGGAGCTGGAGATGGGGGAGGGTGGGGTGGGGACAAGGAAGAATGGATGTGGCAGGAACGGCATTGCACATGGGGAGGCGGGATGTGCCAGGAACGAGGGCGAAGGATCGCTCTACTGAGTCTATCTGAAGTTCAAAGCAAAGAGAGAACTCGGGGCAGGCAGATGGGGGGGTGTCCTGCTGGGGAAACGCACCGAGCACTCCTCCTCCGAGGTCTGCACGCAGCCC